ATCTATTAGACCAACTTTCTTAAAAACCTTGACCCCTTGCCTGGATGTTTAAACTTAATCTGTTGATATTGCTCCACTGAATCTCTTGGCTCATGTCACAAAAAAGAAGGTTAATCCTTAAACATTTCCCTCCTCCCCCCTTTTAACTTCTTTCTTTGAATGCTGCTCTATCGTTTATTTGTATTTATTCTTGACCCAACTCTGGCTAATTCATTACAAATATTATCTGAATGAACTATTCAGATCTTTCCCACTGACTTATATTAGTATTATCATAAAAAAAAATTAAAAAAAAAAACTTCCATAGCTATACACGAAGAATGGTGCAAAAACAACACATTAATTTTACCTTTTCTTGAAGCTGGTTTCATAATCAAAATCACAACAAGATACCAAGCCAAATTCATGGGAAAAAAAAACATCAAAAAAGGTCATTAGTAGTGTGGTTTATAAATCAGAACGTACCAATAATTAAAATAAGCAAATCTCACCAAGTGCAAAAATAATTAAAATGTTCGGTTTATTACATACTTAACAATCCACCTCACAAATACGGTTTATATAGATTTATTAAGACACATTTCAGGATACTATACATATATATTTTTTGTTAGTATGTAATAAAGATTAGTTTTGGGTGAAAACACACAAGGTTTCAGCAAACCCTAGAAATTGGAAATGGTAACCATGCAAAATTAACAAAAATTAAAATACACCTTTGCAGATCCATGTTTAGGGACAAGTGAAACACGTAAGCATGTATTTGTCGAGGATGTCTTGTACTGATCTGTAGCTCTGTGGTTTAAGTTTCCAAATTAAGATTTTGAAGAGAGAATTTTAGTTTGATGTTTGTTTTGGAAATTTTAATTTGAAAATCACATTTGCAAAAAAAGAAAAAAAACAAAACAAAAAAAAAAAACACAAAAACAACACTTTTAAAATTCACGTTTCATTAACGCAAACACTTTTTGGTTGCATGGGTATTCAAAGTATACCTCAAATACTATGAAAGTATGCTTTGTGTGTATATTGTATATATATATATATATATATATATATATATATATATATATTATTTAGAAATTTGTTTTTGATTGGTGTTTTGAAAGGTATGCAAAACAGATACACAAACACACAAAAATATGATTAATTAAATTAATTTATTTCATTTTAATTCTGCTCCCTCCAGAATCCTTCTTGGAGAATTAAACAAGAAGAGGTTTTTTTTGTGATCGGCTGCAGCCAAGACAGGCCAGTGAGTTAGGTTACGTGACATACATACATGCACTGTGGTTGGAGAGGTCATTTTCCCGACTGCTGTTGATATACTGCTTAATAACTGGAAATTGGAACATAACTTTTAAAAAAAAACTTTATGAACATAGTGTATGTTTTTTATGTACATTTTTATATAAATTTATGTACACTTTTAAAATGTAAACTTATAATAATGATTTTGAAATTACAAAAATTGTCAAATTGAGTAGCATATAAATGCTGTGGTTTGTGAAAGCCCTGGGAATTTGTAGAAGGCTTTACGGTTGAGGGGGAACAGATCAAGCTATTGCTTTTAATTGTTTAAAATTATATGTATATACACAATTTAAACTTGAATTTTTTTAATTTTTTTTTTTTTTTTTTTTTATAAGGTCTGATAAAATTCACTCCAATCTATAAACTATACAAGCTCTTCGGGAGAAGGACTTTGGTGTCTCTGCTAATAAATATTAGATTTTTTTGCCAATGTCATCAACATCTTACAATAGTTCTTTATAGGAAATTGGACGTTTTAGGAGTTAGAGAACCTTGGAATGATGAGTATTGTGTTGATATTTATTATAGTAAAATAAAGAGTCACCAAAAAGGAATTACTTCCTTTCTGATAGATAGATAAGAAGGTTTAGATAGTGGTCTCAAGAAAAGTGTGTAACTCCTCAAATCCCAGTAGATCAACCCACACCAGGCTGAAAAAAATAAAATAAAGAATAGGGATAGTAAAAAGAAAAAAATCTAATTGCTGCAACCAGGAGATAGTTACTAACACAATTAAATGGGTGTATTCAAAACCTCAGTATTTAAATCAAAACAGGGACGGACTGACAGCCTTCTGGGCCCCCGGACAAAATTTGATCCAGGGCACTTTGAAGACAAAATATTAAAGGAGCACTATAGTGCCAGGAAAACAAACTCGTTTTTCTGGCATTATGGGTCATTATGTCCCCCCCACCCTCAGGGCCCCTCTCCAGCTGGGCTGAAGGGGTTAAATCCCCTTCAGCCACTTACCTTTCTCCTGCGCCGGTCTCCCTCGGCTCTGGGGAATTCTCCTCCCTCTGCTGACCTCAGATTCGAATTCACATTCGCGGCAAGAGCCGCGCACGCATTCAAACCGCCCATAGGAAAGCATTACTAAATGCTTTCCTATGGACTTCCAGCTTGTCTTCTCACTGTGATTTTCACAGTGAGAACCGCGGAAGCGCCTCTAGCGGCTGTCAGGGAGACAGCCACTAGAAAGCTGGATTAACCCTTAGTGAAACATAGCAGTTTCTCTGAAACTGCTATGTTTTCAGCTGCAGGGTTAAAACTAGAGGGAATAAACAGAAAATAACAATAAGTGAA